CAACAAATCACTATTTATGACATTTACAATCCGACGTTTAAACGACAAGAACATTATATTACTTTATAACGTAGAAAATCGTTTTTTGTGATAAACGCGTAATTTGGTCAATATATCGTCGTTTAAACGATGTGACATTAAACATCGTTTTAACAGCAGAATAGGGTTTCCTCAACTAACTGGGTGATATGCGAGATTTTTCTCTACAGAAACATAGCGCCACCTATCCTCACACGCCATATGTGGATTAAAATTGATAATACAGCCTACTTGTTGTTTCTACATCGACCATTTAGAAGTTGCAGAAAGCAGCTTTAGATACCAGAATTTCTTTATCAGCCATGATAAATACAAATGATAAGAAACGAGATTAAATAGTTTCCAACGGCACGGTAATTCTTCGTTTTTTAGGCCTGCATTTCTTGAGATTTCAACAATAAAATGACATCAAATTCAACCGATTCATTGAATGATTCGATTCTTCTGTCTCGTAATTTGCCTTCAGAACACCAGAAAAATGCAAGTATTCAATCTCAAATAAACAACATACCTTCAAACGATTACTCATTGACAGATGTTTCTCACCGTTCCAACAACGATGACTCAGAGCACTTCCCAACGTTATTCAGCACAGAACCAGTTTACATCGTTCTTCTTCACATCAATCCTATTCAAGATGCCGATTATTTTGTCGAAAAACTTCAGCGTATTTCGCCTACTATCTTTATTTTCAATGGTCAAGATGAATGTGTCGATTTCTTTACTGACTTCAACGATGCCAAAATATTTTTAGTATTGACTGAATTCACTAATCTGGAGTTCATTCTGCTTATTAATAATATCAAACAACTTCAATCGATTTATATCTTCAACACTGAACTCATCAACGATAGTTATGTAATCGGAAGTACAAACAAAAAGGTGAAAGGCGTATATCATCAAATCGAACAAGTGTGCTATGCATTGAGACATGATATTCAAAGATTGTCAATCTTATCGAATTCTCTTAGTTTTCTTTCTAATGACTCCAGTGCAAATGCCGATGAATTGGACTCGTCATTCATGTACACACAGCTGTTTAAAGAGATTTTTCTAAATCTCGAATACGATAGAGAGAAGGCAAAAAGAGAGTTCATCAAATTCTGCCGAGATCCTTCATCTAACATTGATTTCGAGCCCAAAGGTGTGGATCAATTCGAAAAAGACTATCAACCAAGTGCGGCTTTGCGATGGTACACACAACACAATTTTCTCTATTACAATATCAACCGGGCATTACGAACGCAAAGCATGGAAATCTTGATGAGAATGGGATTTTTCCTTCAGGATCTTCATCAAAATATCAAAGATAAAAACTCGAAAGATATGTATCCATCGAAATTTGTTTTTTATCGAGGACAAGGTTTATCGGAGAAAGATTTCGAAAAGATGAAAAATAGCCAAGGTGGTCTGGTTGGTTTTAATTGTTTTTTATCAACTAGTCGTCAAGCAGCTGCAGCAAACATGTTTGCTGAGTCTGCTGCAACTGCAGAAGGTTCGATTGGGATTGTGTTCGAAATTGAAATAGATTCATCGAATGTTACAACACCGTTTACATACCTTGGGAGTCTGAGTCATTATCCAGATGAAGAAGAAATTCTGTTTTCTATGCATGCCATTTTTCGTATTCGTACAATGAAGAAAAAGACAAAACGATTGTGGGAAGTACAACTGGTCGCGACTACTGACAATGATCCTGATTTAACTCGGTACACTGAACACATACGGAGGAAGTTATGCGTAGATAATGGATGGATTAAATTAGTTTTGTTGACTCAGGAGATGGGTAAATTCCAGCAGGCCAACAAAATTCTAGATATCTTACCAGAAATAATGAGCGACGGTGACAATGGATCAATAGAAAAATGTACGGAAGTGGCTACTGTCTTACGAGGTCGTGGACAATTCGATACAGGTACTCTTTCAAGCATATTTTCTGCCAAGAGGGACATCTCAGAAGTGATGCAAAAATATTTTCCACGTGATGATTTTTTCCAAGCAAAAATTCATAATGAATTGGGTATAGCGTCCTTCGTTATGGGGGATCTTCTTGCTGCTTTCTCAAACTTCCAGAAAGTTCTGACCATTCTTGAGAAACATTCCTCAAAAAATAATAGAAAACTGCTTGATTGTTACACGTACCTATGTATAATACAGGCGTACATTGGTCACATTGAAGAAGCAAAAATCTATTATGAAAAAGGAGTTGAGATAGGGCATAAACATCTTGATGAAAACGAACCCAACATTGCCGAATCTTATGGAAATATTGGTTTGTTATATCAAACTATGGGTAGGTTTGCACAATCACTAACCTATTACGAGAAAGCACTGGAAACTTTGATGAAAACGGTTCCAAGTGATCATCCTCATATTGGCACGGTAAGAATGCTTATTGGCGGAATTCATTATGAAATGGGCAACTATCAATTGGCATTAGAGCAATATGATTTAGCACTTGATATAGCGGAACATGCAGAATTCAATTGTTATCAGATGATCATTCAGATAAAGTGTTTTCAAGGAAATGCACATCTAGCGCTGAAAAATGTTGGAAAAGCTTTGCAGTGTTATAAACAAGCCTTGCAAGTGATCGAAGTCAAATGCCCACAAAATCATTCACTTATGTCGAGTGTTAAACACAATATAGGTTTGGTTTACATGGCACAAGGTGACTATGATGAAGCTCTGCAGAATTTTGAAGCAGTGCTTCAAATTCAAAAACACTTTAGTACACTAGATATTCGTACATTAGGCAACACTCACAGTACCATTGGTGCAGCATACACAAAGAAAGGAGAATTTTCACATGCACTCACCCATTTTCAGGAAGCATTTGGAATACTGCTAAAATGCCTTCCAGCTGATCACACAAACATAGGATCAATTTATGGTTGGATCGCTGTTACTTATCAATGTATGTCTAATTACTCTGAAGCATCTTCTTGTTATCAAAAGGCTCTGGAAATCTATGAAAAATCATCGTCACCCGACAGTCCAGAAGTAGTTGCAATTCATTGCAATCTGAGCTACGTACAACTTATGACGCAAGATGTTGCATCGGCGATGCAAAACGTCATACAATACGTACATAGCCTTCAAAATAGCCTTTCACTGAACAAATCAGAGAGTGCAAAGTATACCAAAACCAAAACATTAGTAGATCAGTATTCTAAACAGATGTTGGAGTTTTGTTCGAGCCTACAAAAGACAGGCATATTCACGAAAAGTGATTCAAAAACGGTTCATGAAAATACGCAGTACGAAAATCTCAGCGCAGAACAGAGGGCAGCTTTGTGTGAACAGTTGGAAACAGCCGCGGAAACCGAAGTAGAACTTTATTCATCGGATGCATCATTATTTGCACTGCCTCCAAAGCAGCAAGTGGCAATGAATTCAGCGATGAATGCTCTGAAAAAGGCAAAAGCAGCTAACATGAAACGTCAGCAAGAAGTAGCAACTTTACAAAATTCATCTAGTGAAAACGCGAGGATTACTCTGGAAACAGACCAAGATCAATACCTGTTTGATGTCACGAACGCTTGGATTCAATATGCAGAGAGTATGCAGAACACGTTACCATCGAATAATCTTTTGGGAGTTGATTATTGCAATTACCTTGGTACGATGCTGTGTTCAAAAGGACAACAAAATTGGGCACTTACGTTGTTTGCAAGAGCTCGTGATTTTCTGCTACAATGTACGCCAATTAATCATGAAGTCCTCGCTAAAACCTACGACTATATGAAAACCGCTTTCGAAGCTCTTGGACAACATGGTGAAGCAGCCGAGTCAGCAACAGAAGCAGTCTATTCGGCCACGATTGCTTTCGGTCCTGATCATCCACAAACTAAGGTGTATGAAGAAGAAGTTCAAAGACTCTGCGGATTTTCATGAAAAATATGCTTTACGTATATAAATCAACGTCAACAGAAACATTGCCAGTTCGCAATTATACTACTCCGTACTTCATTTTTATGTTTAAGCTATTAATAACACTCCGTAGAAAAATAAACGCCTTAACTTTTCATGATTACGAAAGTCCCTGATAAGGTACTTCTTTTCAGTATTTGCTCATAGTGATATCAGAGTCTTGTCATGACCTATAGGGGCCGAAAAATATTCGAAGCCAGTGCTTATCTTGTCATGAAGAAATACACAAAGTCTAGACAGGAAACAAGCTGAGCATCGTGTCCAACTTAGCATTTACTCATATCTTAATAACTGACAGTCATCTCAGATGAAAATCGCTTTGATCACCATTCTTCATTCATCCTATTTTATCATTGACGAACAAAATATTTTCTGTCCTTTTATAAGGATCTTGTTAGCTGCTTTGATAAAGAACTCTTCCAGCGTTCATTGAAATTTACGAATGAAAATGTGATAGCAGAGGAAACAATAAAGCTACAATTATCCGCAGTTCGAGTAGAGTGAAGTGCAGGCGTGCACCAAAACTTGTTTTGAAGTTTTGGTTCAGCATTTGAGTTTTGACAATGGTTTTGGGTTTGGAGTTTTGCTTTTGCTTCTGCTTTTGGTAGTGTTCTCCGTTATTGAAAATTTCATAGTGATAATCAAGTGTGACTATGACACAATTAGTCGGTCCTTGTGATCATGACACGATAGACATTGAGGAATTTAAACCGTGGTCATGATGATGATTGGATTTAATATATTTTTAATCACGATTGTTATGTATATTTTGTTCCAAAAAATATTTTGTATAAGATTTTCTCAAGTATATGGCGTCCCGCAGAGAGAGTACAGCTTACTCGAACCTCACATGTATCTTCATCTATTATCATTGTTTTTTAGTGTCGAAATGAATTGAATTGCAAAGGATCATTAAAAAGTAACATACAAGATAGTTGTTATTACGTGTGATCGTAGCTGTAATCAAAAATATCAACTACGCACTACATTAGATTTTGATTTTAGAGTAAAATAACCTGAGAACAAGTAATGCGTCGGCTCCTGGAGCCTCGCTCAACTCAATCCTGAAAGCCTGTAGAGATGGGTTAGAACGTTCAATTTTGGATAATGTTACTATTGAACCTAGTAGCTCAAAAAACTGTATTCACGATAACTACATATAATACTCTTAAATTAACGTGGTCACACAAGAAAGCACAATATATAGAGCATCTCAACTTAAACTAAATACGGAATCTATTTCAATAGAGAATTAAACGTGAATGAAGAATGATGAACCTTCATCGGAAAAGCATAATCTCTGTTTAGTTTTGGTAATATTCTTTGGACATCATAGCTAGTATCTCTCGACATGTTCACAGGTACCAATATATAAGTTAATCTAGTAGCAATGTAACTGGAAGAGCGATCTGCAGAAAAAAAGGAACAACAGAATCTCAACTAGTACACTAGTTATGGTTCCTGGATAAATAGAACTAAATATGCCATTTGATATGCTCAGCATGTCGAAATATTTCGTGATTAGAACTCGTTTTTATCAAAGTTTTTAGAACTCCAGCTGAGACTCAGTCACAATGCAGGTAATCATGTTTTTCTTTTAACCTAAAACCAATAGCAAAGATATTAGACTGATTTGTCGATTGTATAAACATCTAATTACGATTCACTACCAGAATTACGTCACAAAGGGTGTGGGTGTGGG